GCACTGCCAATACTTGCAGGATTTAAAACTTCATTTGAAATTACAATCAGGGGGTCTTAGAGCAGCGTCTCAATCAGAGCCGTGCCATCTGTTCTAGTCTGGCCCTGATGTCCTCACACCAAGCTGCGGCAGGGAATTGATGGAGTTTCCCTTCTTTTTTTTTAATGAGAAGTGACTCAAAGGAAGAAGAAGAAAGTGGCCCTAATAAATAGTCTTATGGGAGAAATGAGCCTGCGCTGCTTCCCTAATTCCTGCTTGTTGAGCATAATTGTTTTGTTTTTCAATTATTTTGGTCTTTGTGTAAAGGATTAAATGTAATCAGTGGAATTCTCAGTTTATGAAAATAAATTTCACACAACGCAACAAAATTGAAAATTCTTAGAGGTGTTAGAAAGAAACAAAAGTAAGATAGAAAAAACCATGGGAAGGGCTTTCTTTCTCTAAGTGTACCAATCATTTAAACAGTAAGTCTTTAAGAAGAGAAGCAGCAGTTTCACTTCCACTTGTCACATAGCAGCACCTCATGTGTGATGGACACAAAGAAACGCTGACGCATGGCAACCTGTCAACATTGGCCTCCGCTGCTTTCCTCAAATACTATAAACTACTGTTAATATAATCTGACATTCCTGATTAACAACTCTGTATATTGTGTGTCTGTGTTTGTCAGGAGGGGTCCACCCGGTGTAACTTTCTCACATTTAAGAGATTGTGCTTAAACTTGTTTCCTTACAGGATGAATATTGCACCGGCAATTATTGTTTCTTCATTTTATACAGATTTTCAAACAGGCACATTTTCTCAGCACTAATAAAACAATTTGAGATGTTGAAAGGAGATGAGGTTTTCGGGTGATGATGGGGGAGAAAGGGTTTCACTGAGGAGCTGCAGAAGCGGCAACAACAGCTGGATCATGACGAGAGTTCAACTAATCCGTGTGTGTGTGTGCGTGTGTGTGTGTGTGCGTGTGTGTGTGCGTGCGTGTGTGTGTGTGTGTTAATGTGGATTACGTTGTGCTGAGATTAGATTTGCTTAGAGATATATTCTTAAGAGAGGAGATAGCAGATCTTGTTTTTACTATTGCGCTTGATTTTCTTTTTTTTTTTTAAACCAACAATGAAGTCAGTCCTTTGACTCACTGTTGTCCTGTGACACTGTACAAAACATTTGATAACAATGAGTCCATATACACATGTATATGATTATCCATATCACCTACCCATAATCCCATCTGAATTAATCACCAGGCTCCAGCAGTGATATACCTTTTATGATGACACATTTTAGATTGTAGCCAGTTAACTGAATTATATTACCCAGAAAACATCTGGCATCTCCTTTCAGCTCATATTACAGCATGATGATTATGGGGGTGTTACAACTTAAGTGGGCCACATGGTGGCACTAGAGGATATAGTTACTTGGAGCTGATCTATACTTTATGGTTGAATAAAATTGGTATAATAATATATATTTTTTACTATTGATATTATTTAATGATTATCTTCTTGCCGTGACTTTTCATAGGGCTTTGGTAATGTGGGTCTCCACTCCATGAGGTACCTGCACAGGTTTGGGGCGAAGTGTGTGGGCATCGGTGAGATCGATGGAGCCATCTACAACCCAGACGGCATCGACCCCAAGCAGCTGGAGGACTACAAACTGGTACCAGCACAGTTTTTGTGTCTTTTTGTGATTCATTCTCATGAAACAGTATTTCTGACATTTCTGCTTCTGGAAATAAACATTTTTTTATCCTTCTTTTCTCTGTGTATCTCTGCAGCAACATGGCACCATTGTTGGCTTCCCAGGAGCCAAACCCTATGAAGGGAACATTTTGGAAGCTGACTGCCACATCCTGATCCCTGCTGCTGGAGAAAAGCAGCTCACGCGTAATAATGCCCCCAGAATCAAGGCCAAGGCAAATAATAATTTTGATCTACCCTTAAACCATTATGTGGATTGATATGAGTAAGAACAGAATGACTTTGTCGCAGTCATCCTAAGTACTGTTTGTTTGTTTGTTGTAGATCATTGCTGAGGGTGCCAACGGTCCCACCACCCCAGATGCCGACAAGATCTTCCTGGAGAAAAACGTCATGGTTATCCCTGTAAGTGCACACGCACACACTAAGTAGAACATTTTGGACTATATTTTTATATGGTGCTTTTCCAGCGGACTACTCAAAGCCTCAAGCGCTGTACAGCACAAACAGCATTCACATACATTCATACAGCACTTCTGTAACACCATTTATAAAGAATAAATTATTCTAAAAACAAGTGTTTTTAACTGGTCATGTAAATAATAATTAGCTTTTTACTTATTTACTTTATATACTTTTACACACATTTTTACACTTCCTCCAGGCTTGGTTCTTTTCATGTTTTTGAACTTGATCTGTTTTGATTTACTTGTAAAATTAATACTATTAAGGGTTAATTTCAGTGTAAGTTCAGTTTAAACAGGCAGATGAATATGAGTGTCTGTTTCTTTAATCTTCAGGACATGTACCTGAATGCTGGTGGTGTGACAGTGTCTTATTTCGAGTGGCTGAAGAATCTCAACCATGTCAGCTATGGAAGACTGACCTTCAAATATGAGAGAGACTCAAACTACCACCTGCTCAGTGAGTACCGGACAACTGCTTTGTAATTCCTGCACAGTCCGACAGCTGAAATAAGCTTTTAGAAAAAAGTACGAAGAAACAAAAGAATCTTCTGATATCTTGTTTACCTCTCCCATGTTCTCTCTCACAGTGTCTGTGCAGGAGAGTTTGGAGAGGAAGTTTGGCAAACAGGGGGGACCCATTCCCGTCGTGCCCACTGCTGACTTCCAGGCCAGAGTTGCTGTAAGTAAAATCTACTGACATGTACATGTCCAAGCTTTTGACATTGTGCTAACACAGTCTGTCATTATAATAATTATAATCATAAACATAATCTATATAGCATAACAAATCAATAAACTGAACTGTTAGATCATTTAAGCAATCAGCGGCTCTGATAGCATCAGCAAGTGCTTTCCAATTGAAGCAAGTTTTAAGAAGAGACTTGAAAGATCCTTGCGCAAGTTGTTCAAGAGCTTCGAGGTCCAGACTGCAAAGGCTCTGTCCCATTGAGTTATACAGTGACAGTGGGGAGACCTCTGAGAGGAGGATCTCAAGCTATGCAAAGGCTCATAAGAGATTAAAAAATCTAAGTTATAAACAGGAGTCAAACGATGTCAGCCCTTAAAGGTTGTCAACACAAGTATCGATGAAAAAAGACAAACGCCCATCACGTTACCAGAACCAAGTTGTGTCTAATTATCTGAAAATATTTGATTCACATTATTTATATGAAACAACAAAAAGCACAACAATGTTAATCCATTCAACCAGGTTAATAGTTATTTATTTTAAGATGACCTTGCATAGACATTGTATAGAAACTGAGCTTGATCATTCTTCTTTGCAGGGTGCCTCTGAGAAGGACATAGTTCACTCTGGATTGGCCTACACCATGGAGAGATCTGCTCGGGTAAGTGATCCTGCAGGGGCCATATTTAGTTTAGTTAACTGAGATGAAACATTGGACTTCTTTTTGTTGTTCTCAAGCTTTTTCTGTCACAACCTGCATCCTCCCTCAAAACAGTAACATTTCTATCAACCACTTAAAATATAAAAAAGTCAAATAGTGTTGTTTTTAGATATTTCCACGATAATACATGTTTGCTTTCAAATTTACATGATTTCTTTATTATGCACATACAATTCTCGATTTTAACTTGGCCTAATTTATTAAACCTTTTTAGACACAAATGTACACTGAAGATGTGTTTCTTTTGCTCAAAATAATTATTTTATAGAAGGAGGAAACAGTTTTGAGTATTTCACTGTATGAAGTAAAGTTATCAAATCTCATCTGAAGTTTAAGGATTAGTTTTGGCATTAAATGATTTACTGTAATTAATTAATAAACACTACATTTTATTATTATATAATTGTTTCCTCTTATCTGTGATCCGGTCATTATAATTGATTCTGTCTTTGAGATATTCAGTGACTCTTGTTTGTAGTTTTGTTTTTAATAAAAATGTCCCTCCTGCCTTTTCAGCAAATCATGCGCACAGCAAGCAAGTACAACCTGGGTCTGGACCTGCGAACGGCCGCCTACGTCAACGCCATCGAGAAGGTCTTCAAAGTCTACAACGAGGCCGGGCTTACCTTCACATAAACGGCCAATCACGACCCCCACACCCGCTCCCTCTGCTCGCCTGCTATTGATCAGCCTCACCTGCCATTTTCCATCCATCGCACCGCCTTCAGAACATATCGCTGTTTACGGCTGCTCTTTGGCTCTTTCTCTCACACACATACGCAGCGACACATTGGCTAGCCTGGTATTTACCCTGTGATCTTTGTGCCGCCAATATACCGAGCCTGTTTCTCTGCTTGAATATAGTCAATTCCTGTTTTGCTTCTGTTGAGGAAAAAGCAGATAGAGCTCCAAAACCATCCCTCCCTCAGACCCCATATACAATGTTAATGGTATTGTTGTAAGGCAGCCATGTTCAAAGCGCCCTCTATTTTTTGTGATTGCTGAATGCACGTGTGACCCTCCTGTTGCAGTTGTCATCACTACAGATGCCTTATTTCAGAAAGAAGTCTGCTCTGAAAAGGAGCAGTTTCACTTTAATAAAAAGGGATTCAGATTTAACTTCATGTGAATAAGAGAATAGAATTTATTACCCTTGAGTTGTCTTCTTACTGTTTAAGGTGTAAAGGTTAGAAGTAAAGTTCCCAAGGTTCAGGATTCCCAACAATGATTTAGTATTGTTCTCTTTCAAGATCGGAAAGATGTTCTCACCCTCTCCTTGTCCCTTCCTTATTCTTCCTTATGTCCCCGCAGCTTGCTCTAATCTTTAAAAGCAGCTTCTCCCTGATTCCTCCAGTGGCCAAGTAAGGGGGCTGAGTGGGAGGCGAGGTGTCACTGTGACCACCTGATGCCTGATTTCATTTTTTTTTTTTTTCTCAATTTTAACCGTCCAGTTCCTCAACATAGAAACCATTTTAGAGGAAATTATTTTTATTTTTATTCATTTTGTGGAAACCAATAAAATGTTGAGAAAAGATACGGGCGTGTCGTGAGTTTATTTTACTGTGTGCGATGCTGTAATTTCAGAGGAGCTCATGCAATGACACTGCGTAGAAGTAGCCTACTCGGCAGCTACAGTTCTTTGTCAAGAAATAGTCCCAGCATGTAGCTCGCTCTTAAATCAGTCGTCATAATTTTTCCTCTTTTTGTTTTTTAAAACAAATGAATTACAACAGGCAAAATACTCTCTGAGTTGTCTGAGCTCTGTTTTTTATGCTAGGCTAAATTAACCAACTCCCAGCACAGACAAAATAATTCTCTTATTTCTATTTTTAAGTTTTGATAAGAAAGCAAACGTGATTGGGACTCGTAGCTCAGTTTTGATCTGTGGCCCCTTAGTGAGATCATGTGGCCCTGACTGTGATGATAATAATAATGTGAGAAAACCTTGTGTTTTCAGTCAGGCACCTCTTCAATAAACTCTCCACACTGTAGCTGGATTTCAACAAAACATATTTAATTTCACTGGTACTGTTTATAAAATCAGCGAGTCTGCTTTGATGCCAACTTAAACATGGTGTGTGGTTGTGTGTGTGAGGGGGGTGTTGTTTACAGAGTGTGTGTGTGTGTGTTTGTGTGTACATGTTAATGTAAGTGTGTTGTAGTGTATGGTCTGTGTGTGTGTGAATGTCAGATTGCTTAATAAGGCAACATGCAGTCATCAGTTTCCATTGGCCTCAAAGTAAAAACACACCTGCTCAAGAAACAAACACACACACGCACACATACACACACATTGCTGGCTGAAACCGTTCTACGCTAACACACACATACACGCACACACACACAGTGCATACTGACGCGCACACAAAGACGAGCAGTGAAAGGTGGCATTACACTGAGTGACGGGAGGAGGGAATCGTCTGATTGGCTGAGACAGTCGAGCGGGTCAGAACACTAGTTAGTGTGAAATCAAATCTACCCCTAAAAATCCACTACATATCCCAGAATTCAAGCTGTACACAGAACTACACATAAAGCTGAGCTACAGTGAGAACACAAACCTTCATCCTGTTCTCTCATTGGACCGATTCCCTTTTATTGAGTGATTGTTTTCATCACAGAAATCTGAATGATATTCAGGCTGCTCACTTTTCCTCTATGACATGCAAGCCGGTTCACAAACACCAAAAAGCAACTACATGATAAGAAGAAATCAACTGCTCATTTTCCCCTGAAAACACCTTTAAACCCACAAATTTCCCTTTTAATTTCCCCCTAAATCCAAGTTAATCCTGACCGAACTCTATTTGATGTTTACGACAAGAGAAACATTTAAACCTAAGACTCACTTCTAAATGGTTTTTCAGCATTTTCCTGCACATTTCCCCCAAATTCACTTTGGTGTATTTGGAAACTTTGATATCCACTAATCAGCTTCAACATATAGATATGAGCACATCAGTTTTTTTGCCAAAGTTAGAGCAACACTGGTTAATATGGGAAACACTGGGCTGGATTGGGACAGAAAATAGGAAGATACTAAGGATTTCCAATTATAATTAAAATATGGTTGTTTGCAGAGAGATGCCCCCGTCAGTCAAATCGAATCAAGCCATCAGTTATCGATTGTAGCTTTTATGTGAAAATGTAATATTATCCATTAGAAGAATGAGCACTGTGCGTTGTTTTCAGGTTAACGACACTGTTAATAACCCTGTTTCTACACGTCGAGGCGAGACACACACTAAGCCATACAAAGCCACACGGAAACAGCTGCTACTCTACGGTTTCAACACGTGACGAGTCATTCCACAAATCTGTTCATGCAGTCTACCGTGGCTAACTAACTACCGCACACACAACAGAACGAGATCCGCCATCAACGCACGATTCCCTGCACAAGCGTCTGGAGATTTATTGTATTTATTTCATATGCCACAGCTGCACATGCACACACACGTATATATACTATATATATAGAATATAAGCTTTGGACACGCAGGCACACAAACAGCAGCTCACACCCTGCCTCAGTCATCAGTTACTGCTGTGGACTGCAGTGCTGAGGCCTGAGTGGATTTTCACAACCACAATTTCATTTCTGACACACTGACCAGTGTGTGCGTCTGTGCTGGCGCTGACGGTATGCACTGTGTATGTGTGTGTGTGTGTTTCATGCATGTGTTTAATGAAGGGGTGTCTCTTTTTTGTTTGTGTGTGTATGTGTTGTTACGTGTGTGTGTTTGTGTGTGAGGTTTCCCTATAGGTTGGTAGGCGTGGGGGCAGTAACGACATCAGGGCTCATATCAGGACGACACTAACACACAGGTGAGTTGGGGGGGGATACGACGGGCAGTGGAGGAGAAGCTACAGGCTGCAGGAGGTCAGAGGGTGGAGGAGGGGTAGGGAGGTAAGGGTGTGTAAGGAGGCAGAGGGGGTGGGGAGAGGGTGTGGATACAGTGGCTGAGGTGCGGCATCTGGAAGAGTCTGTTTTAGTTGATTTTGGTTCCATAGAGTCACAAAAAAATATGTTGAACATCTGGACTCTGCGAGGCGATGGGGGCCGGGAGGCTGCTGGAGAACACAGGAGGGGGGTGGGGGGTCCTGAAGACAACTAATACCCCTGGAAGAAAAGAATGAAAGAAAGGAAAAGATTAGGACAGTTTACAAGATCATTTACTAGACATGAGCAGAGAAGAAAAGTAATATATACAATTTTGGAGTACTTGGCAATCAAACTGTTGGACGTCAAGATGCATTGTGGGTAATGTAGGCATCAGGTAGGTTTAGACAAAGAAGAACTCTACTGCATCAATTCTGATATTTATCTTTTTTCTTACTTTCATCTGTGGCAATTGATTTAATATGAAGTTAATGTAAAAAAATATTTTCCATGGAAATGTAGTAGAAGTGAAATATTAGTCACATACAAGTTAAGTGCAGTACTTGAGTAAATGTATTTACTTAGTACCTCTGAGAAACATTAATATTAATGCTGCACTTAGCCACACATCACATTTAATTTGATCTGACTGAGCTGCCGCGTATTCATAAGCCGCTCTGTTTTAGTTCCAGCAGCAGTCTGACTTGTTTCCTTACCTCTCCTCCTTCGCCGCCCTGCTCCATCCCTCCATATTCTCCCTGTAGGAGAGGAACAATTTGGAGAATAATAGATTAGACACAAAAGAAAGATGGAGGCTTTTCTGTGACGATGAAAAGAATGAAGCGATGGGCAGGACTGAGGGCCAAAAGCACTATCGACCACCTATCTACCTTTTGTTTTTCACCAGATTGTGATATAACAAAGCAGACCATGCTGTACGGTTGACTCAATGACTCTTTATTGTCATGCTTAAAACACTTTCCAGGGGGCGTCAGTTAGTTGATTAGAGATTTATAACATGTAAGAGTGAAATGAAACCTCCACCTGCCAGGATCTATAGGTACACAGGACTGGTTCAGCCTGAGCGGTGCATGAAGCTACTGAATGAATGAGTAAGATACATGAATACTGCACTTGTGGCTACATGAAGGAGCTACATGGTTAGAAATGAGAAATTTTAGTTTTTATCGTTGGCTAAACCACGTGAGTGAGCAAACGTCTGAGAGGTCAGAAGAAAGCGATCGCAACGTAAGTAAGTTGTATATTCATGCTTTTATAAACCAGAAGCCAAAACACTGCAGGAATTTGTGTTTTAGCTCTTTCTACTTTCCTCTCTTGACGCTCACCCAGTCTGTTGTGGGCTGTTATTATCAGATATACACTGAATTACCAGTTTTTACTGAGTCCACCTGCACAATTTAATGCAATCCAGTGCAACAAATCCCACCTCAAACCATGATGACGCTGCACTGGAGGTCTGATTCATTACATTGTACAGGTGAGCCTAATAAACTGATAACTTGTGAAGCATGCAGAGTATGCCCTCTTTGTCTCTCCTTCACCCCAGCCCACCCCGGGGACAACCTATGACCCCCACATTGCTCTGTCCAATAGGCACCTCGTATACAGGCTCCTCCTATCAGGAAAACACAGATGAGACACACAGCATAGACGAGAAAACGTGAGAACGACAGTGACACAGACACGTGAAAAACAGAAACACTGCCACAAAGACGTGCATAAAACACACACACACAAACATGTTAGCTGTTCATACATCTAACATGTTTAACAACAGTCTTTAAATCATAATCATGCAAATTAAATTAGACCAATATTTTTACAATCCTAAATTGAATCATGCCTGAAAACAAAAGAAAATTATGAATAAA